TTATGGGAACTTCCAGGGCTGTCTCCCACGCAGTGGAGGAGACAGTCCCAAACTGAGCTACTCAGAACCACTAACTAACAGCATCAAACTGAAATGTATTTGCAACATTTTTTGCAGCTACATGCATGAATACAAACGTGCAGTCATGTGAGAGACTGCAGATCTATGCATGGATTTATACCAGGGTGACTCCTGTTTCTATTGAGTATAACAAGCCAATAATTTTCACAGCTTATGTGTCAAATTACCACTCAGTCTCTCCTTTTCTGTTAGTTGCTGGTTTCTACTCTGCAACAAGCCAGTCGGTATTCCAGCGCCGGCCCGGGTCCAGCTGGCCAAACTATTTACTCTACCAGGCACAAACACTTAAGATTAGGGATGAATCTGATTTATTTCTCCAGCCAGCCAGTTGTTTGGCATCTGATGTCACAAAAACTCTCTCTGTGATTGGTTTGTACCACAAGTATGAATTATTATTATTATTGTGTTGTCTAATAATCAAGAGGCTTGAGTTTTGCTTATGGCCGCTATTCATAATCTCTAAAAGCAACAAGGTCTGCAGATGTCTCACGATGAAAAGTAGACACTCACTCAAGTTTTCCTGTAACACAAATACACAGACAGTATAAATACACAAATGTGGACATGCATGCCCACATGGTTTTTTTATTTCCCCCTCCATCTCACTTTATCTCTTGCTCTCTTACACACAGACACACACACACAAATCGCTGTTTCTCACAGTCTCGTCTTGCGGTTGTTTGATTTACTCTGTGACCTCTGACCCTGGCTGGGCTAAGCTGGATGGACTCTTGGCCCTGCTGCTGCGCCAACTGGTTCATCTCCAACATAACCCCACTGGACTTCTGTGTGTGTGTCCATCCGTCCGTCCATCCGTCTGTCGAAATGTCGTTAAACAAGATACTAAACCCCAAATTTCCCCTGATGGCTGTTCCATCAGTGTATGAATGGGATGTGTGTGTGAATGGGTGAATGTGACATGTATCGTAAAAGGCTATGAATGGTCTCTGAGATGAGAACAGCTATAGACCAGACCATTTACCATTTAGACAGACATCTTCACATTGAATGAATTCTAACTGATAATCAAGGTATGTAAAATATTTCATGTCACTCTGTCATCCAAAATTGTATGATTATAACAAACCTGCTTTTATACTATCATATTTTTTGTATTATTGACTGGGCTTCTGTCTGCTCATGCCTGAGCTCCCTGCTGCTTCTAAATAAAAGTTAAACTAAACAAAGTCTTCATGAACACAAATGAAAACCTCTTGTCAGCACCACACCCATAATTCCAGTGTTTTACAAGCTGCTAAATGACCTTTTGGTGTTATTCATTTCCTGTTGTAGTGAAGCCCAAATCAATTAAAGATGGCAACAGTGATGTGACTCCATCCGACCTTGGCCTGTGAAAATACCCACACATGAGCCTTAGAGCACAACGGTGAGAAAGGAGAGACTTTTGTTCACAAAACACCAGATGATAAAAAACTACCTTACACAGAAGGAGTATTGCATTAACTAGTTAATTTATTTCATCATATGATTCTTTTTAAACCAAAAAAGTGAATAATGTAAATAAAGTGTCTTGAATTTGTTGAGACTTTGTTCTCAGACGCCATCTATCTTATGTTAGATTATGGAGATGCTTCTTCTTGGTGGCCCTTGCAATTTTGACTATCGTTTCATTTAAAAGATCATATCCTCTGAGTACTTATATTTACCTCACATTTTAACTTTCAATACAAAACTGTTCCATTATTTCTAATTTTGTGCATCAACAGAAACTTCAGCATGATATTGGTCTATCAGGGTGTCTGTCTCCAATCTGAACCAGTGCATGAAAGGCTAAAACAAAACAATGTGGCTATAGATTTTATATCCTCCTGCACTTTAAGAAATAAGTTAATCTGTAGTAAATAAATCTGTCAGCACTTCTTTGAACAGATAAGTCAGAGAGGAATCTTTTTTCTTTATATTTCTTTGATGGCTTTTCTTAAAGTCATATCTGTGGTATTTTGCTAAACATAAGCCTTCAAGTCCATCTTTGAAGGCAGTCCATAGCTTTGAGTTTTTAAACAGATGTTGGCTTCCCTCCATTTTAGTTATGCTTCACACATACAGTCTCAAAATATTGAATAAATACATACAATGTTGCTTACCAACTTCTTGAAGCAAGTTACATGAGAAGATTGATACTGCTCTCAAATCTGAATGGTAAATATGTGGCAGTTGGCAAGCAGTTAGCGTAGACCAGACTGGAGACGAGGGGAAACGGCTGGCCTGGCTGTGTCCAAATGTAACAAAATTTGCCAACCATTACATCTTAAGCTCACAAACAAAAAACTAGATATGACGTGTTAATAAGTGAGCAGATAGTGCCAGGCTCGCAGTTTCTTTCTGTTTCCAGTCTTTGTGCAAAGCTAAGCTAATGGGCTGCTAGCTGCAACTTCATAATTAGCGCGCACACACGAGAGTGACATCAATCTTCTCATCTAACTCTCTGCAAGAAAGCAAATATGTCGAACTAAGTTTTTAAATTTCTACTGCATCACTCTTTAGCTGAATATAGGGTGAATTGAGACTGAACACTATCAGTTAGCAAATAGAGAAGAAAAACAAAATGGACATACTGTATATCGACATTAATAAGCTTGTTTTTTGAGCCATATTGGACAAGAAATTGTAACCCCAATAGATGGTGAAGGTGTCCAGCGGTTTTTCAATTTGCAAGTCACCCCAAGAACTGCAGTAACACACTTCCTGGGCTCAGCCCACCTGTTCAGACGCTACACTACTTAAAGCACCATAGTAACACACTTCCTAAGCGGCCTGTGTTATTGGGTTAGCTCTTTTCCTTGTTGTGCAACACACTAAACGCCTCAATCCCTTGTTCTCAGTTCCCTTTAAGCCCCTGATAAGGAAGTGAACTGAATTTTTTTTTTGTCCTTTCCAGCGAGAGTGACCTAAAAAGGGAGATGGGGGAGGTATATGTTACAGTACAATAGCTGGTAAATCTCTCCACAGTAACCACACCAGAGCACTGAGCACATGCTTATGGAGGGAGGCTAATCAGCTTTCTGCAGATGGGTTAATGTCCTTACACTGGCTGAGAGGGGGGGGCCTATATTTAGTGTCCACTCTCTCCCTCTTAACAAGGGATAACATTGGCCCTGTTTTCCACTCCATAGCTCATCTCTCTCTCTGCTTAAATTCATCAAGAAGCCAATACAGGCAGAGATGAAGGGGAAATAAATGAGGACAAAAAATATAGAGGGCCTTGATCTGTGTACTCACAGTGACAGTCAGTAAACAGACTAACCAGATACAAGTAACAATAGAGCTGCACAGATCAAAAGCTTACTAAAAGCAGTGTTTTGGTCAGAGAAATAAGGTTGAAGGCAAAGATAAAGAGGAGAGAAAATGGTAGGGTGACAAAGAGACAGACAGAAGAAAGAAAAAAAGATGAAAGAGATCATGAGAGAGAGAGAGAGACGAAGTAAAATATTTATTCTCAGTGTCAGCAGGGAAAGTGACATCTGGAGGCTGAGGCCTACGGGCATTAGAGTGATGCAGACCTGGAGCCAGTCTACTCAGTCAGTTACCATGTGTCCCTGGAGACTAAGGCTCTGCTGGTAGTAAGGTCTGTGTGTATTCATGATCTACCTGCTGTTGCAAGCACACACCTAATGAGGTCTGGCAAACGGCACGATGACGGTCGCTGACGGTCGCTGACGGTTGTTGACGCTCGTCGGTGACGTCTCTTGGAGGGGAAATCCGTCACGTTCAGCTGTCACTTGCTGGCAGCAACGACAGTGCCAGCTGGGATCATGTGGGCACCTCAGGACGTTGACCTGATGAAGACTTTTCCTCTGTCTGTTAAAGAGTTGGCACCAAAGTCTAAATGCCAAAGCTCTTTCACCTCAGCTAAACTGTAGTAACTCAGTAAGGTAAAGCGTCTGAGAAACATCATGTAGGTTGTTTTTGTGGTTGGTAGTGAGTGTGAGACAAGTGATGACAAAAGTGAACTGAAAAACTCTTATCAGATTGTCTTTTTTTGTTTTTAATTATCAAGTCAGTAAACTTGAACACAATTATCAGATCATTACTTTTATGTCCATACAGGACGGCAGTTAAACACACATGTGGAACAGTGAAAAAATCTCTTTGGAGCAACACAAATCCATATGTAACAGCTCATCACACACATCCAATGAACCCATGTTAAATCATTGTAGCCACTGCGTCCAACTGCACTGCTGCACATCGGCCAAAACAACACACAAATTTGCATACACCACAAAAAAAAAAAAAAAAAACTCTGACTCAAAGACACAGCTTTGAATCTGCCTGCTACACCAGCCAAACACAGACTGTACAAAAATAGAGATTGATAGAAAAATAGCTCTGACATGTTTGAGAGAATATACTGAGTCTCTTGCACTTGTAAAGCTGAAAATTTACACCTGTTATTTTCATGATCATCACAAAATCATCATAGCTGAGCCAATTTGCCTTATTGCCATTCAAATATTCATGTGATTGTCTTTATCGTGTACTCTATTTTTTTTGATAAATGCAGTCAAATTTCCTGACATCTCCAACTTTTACTTTTTTTTTTTTCTTTTTTTTTTTTTTTTTATAAAAGTGAGGATGAAATACTGTACATTGGCCAATGTTCATTGAGCTTACATCATCTCTGAAGCTTTTCTGGCTTCATGCATACTGCCGGGTCTCTGACTCTATCAGTTGCACACTTGTGCTTGTAAATTGCTGCAACATCCCTGCGTGCACAATCCAACCTCCACCCCTCTGACAAACACACAGCTTGTTGTGTCAGTGTGAGGTCTGCAGATATTTGCAGACACCAATACATGGGATGCATATCCTGAACCTTCTGGTGTCTGTTTTTTTTTTTTTTTTGCACATGGAGAGAACATTTTTCTTTTAGTACACACACTGTCAAAATGTCTTCGGGGGGGTGGGGGACATTTTATATATTTGAAAGAAGGAAGGTATAAATATTTTAATTGTATTAAAACTTTCCAGTGTAATTTTCAAAATTCCAAACACATTTCATATCTGATTTACTTTGTATAAAATAAATTTGAAACTTAAAGATACCCTGTAGAGTTTATGACCACTAGTAGCGCTATGAAGCAGTGTTTTCATGAGTGGGTCCTTGTTTTGTTTGTATGGTGCCTGCATATATGGGTGCACATGCAACCATACGGGCAGGGTGTGTTGTATCCCACTAAAACGGCAGTAAAGAAGAAGAGCACAAACACGGATGTAAATAATGCATGGTTTAAAATGTTCAAAAACTGAATATAACTTAACTTTAGTTTTTTTTTGTTTACAAGAAAACTCCACAGGGCATCTTTAAGTAAGCTTGAGTAGCATAAATTGGTTAATTAATATGCATTTTAACTCATGTCTACCAAAGACCAGTAGAACATTTCAGCATGTATGCATTTTGATATACTTCAAAAGAATTACATGTGGTGAAATCGCATTTTGAAATGCGCTTTGGGAAAAGCTTTTCTCTTTCTACAGATGATGAGATTACGTTGTTACTTCCTCTTTGGTAATCAGGATGTGCATTCGTCCAGCAGGACTGCAGATAAGAGCAGAGTCTTTAACTAAACACTGTCAAATATTGGTCCTACAGCTCCCTCGGTGTAAAAGACCTTACTCAGCATTGGTAAACTCTCTGATCCTCTGTACATTCATTATCACCTTGAAAATGTCAATGAGACAACTCAACAGTTCTCTACGATAAAGAATCACAAAAATATCTCTTCCCTTTAGGCTTTATCTAGGCACTTAAAGAAAATTATTCCTGTACAGAAATAAAGCATGCATTGTTTTGTTTCTTTTTTTTTTTTTTTCAGAGTTCGGATAAACTTGAGTATCAAAGTAGATCTTTGGATTTGTAAACAGTATCCAGTTCCTCTTTTTGCATTGTCTGTGACACGCGCACACACATGCACGCACACACACACACACACACACACACACACACACGCATGCATGCACACACACAACACAGCACATGTAAAAGGTTGGAGGGCTGCTGCTGTTTGACCATGAATCAATATCTTCATTGCATCATGTGTCTTCTGTTCCTCTCCGTGACCGTGCTGTATGCGAGTGTCTGTTTTGGTTTATCATGTGAAGCGGATGTGGATATTATAGTGTACATGTTCACCGTTTGAAATTTGAGTTCCTGTGAGCCCTAACTCAACACAGGGGGAAAATGTCATCACATCCAGGCTGTTAAAGACTCCGAGGCTGAGCTCAACTTGTGGTTTGCTCTACCCAATCGATCTTAGCCCTGATGAAAGAACCATAAAACTGATGGGTCAGCCTCTTTCATTGGCATCTCTCCCTGTGTGCTCAGCTCCTCCATGCTGTGGCACCCTACACTGGGGAAAAGCCTTTCTCTGGCCCACTGCCATGATCCAGGTTCTTTGTCCTCATTTCCCTTCCTTCCTTCATTCTCATCTTTTATCTGCGCTCTTTGTCTGATTTTGATTTTTTTCCCATCAGATAGGCAGAGATAAATAGATCTTTCATCCCTTATAAGTGGGCATGTGTTCCACCAGTTACACAAAAGTGCATGAATGTACACAAGGTTTAGTTACAGGGCAACCAGGTGGCATACATGGGATGTTGCGGAGGAGTAAGGTACTGCTGAGGAGGCGAAGGAGGACAGGGGTAGACAGGCTGAACCTGCGCTATGTAATAGTTGCTGAAGTTGCCATCTGAGACATAAGGAGCCGGCTGGTAGAAGCAGGTGACGTTGGCAGCGTTGGGAATGGCGTTCTGCTCTGCCAGGACCCGCAGCGCCAGCGACGAGATGAGGCTGAGCGTCTGACGCCTCTCGTGGCCCATCAGGCACACCGTGCTCTCCTGCACCACGCCGTACAGCGTGGCCAGATACTCATACTTCCTGTCCTCTAGGTCTACAAAGTGGTTCTGCAGGTAGGACTCCAGCTTCCTCCTCTGCTCGCTCACATCAGGAAAGTCTATGAAGAAGCGGGAGCACATGTAGCGCTGCAGCTGTTTCATCTCGTCATCACGAGCTGCACGGAAACCCCGCACCAGGAGGTGGCAGTACTTCAGCAAGCCCCCGCCTCGGATCTCCTCAGGACTCCGCGTACAGATGAGGCGCTTGCGCAGGTGGTCGAGGGCGGTGGGGAAGTCGCCGTAGACGCTCTCCCCTAGGATGGTGGGGTGGAAAGTGGCGGCCATTGGGTGCTCTGAGCACTCATAGAAGAGGAGAAGTGAGTCCAGCCGGATCTGGAAGGAGTCCACGCTGAACTCAAACTGCCGACGAAGAGAGTCCACAAACTTTAGCTCCACATTTTTACCACGATTGTTGGAGAGGGAGATGAGACTCCAGCGGTCAGAGTCATTACACACCTTCACCATCTTTTGCACATAGGCCTCCTAAAAAACACACAAGTGAAGAATTAGGTGTCATCACCGAATGCATCTCATGTTTTTGCAGAGTTTAAGTCAGTGAATCCATGAGTGAAAACTGAAGTCACAAAAGTGAAGACACTGTTGGAACAAAGGGAGTTCACAGCTAGATTTACCCCCTTTATATTCATACTTGAAACCATAGAACACACAGGCCTAAAATCATGAAAACCATTAAATGTTTACAGCATTTTATCCATTACACATCCAGAAAATTGATCAAGTTTTGTTTTTTATACTCTATCTGTCATTTGCAGAACACTCAAAAGACACTGCAGCAGAATATGAGCTACAGGCTAAACTGGGCCAGAAATATTTTTGATTCTTCAGCATCAAGTCATATTTAGAATATATGTCAGACTTGTTTTCCAGTCACCCAGATGTCCACTTCCTCCTCCTTGTCTTTTCCTTCCTCTCACACCTGTAATACAGCCTTAGTTCCAGCAGTAGTCCTATTCCTCTGAAAATCATCAGACAGTCGTTTGGTTTCATTATTAGGTTTAGTAAAGATTGCACTGTGGGTCTTAAATAGAGATTGTCTGGATAAAAAAAATATTACAAACCAGCCTTTGTTTGAGCAGGCTCCAACCACCAGAGATTAATGCTATTTGCAGCAGATAAAAATCTACATTTGGTCTGTTAGTTATGTTTTGCTGATCACATCTGTTGGTGAGCCATTAGTAGCCTGGGTAGTCCTCGGTATCCAGGTAACTGAGGGCCGACTGATTGATGTGGATCTCACTCCAATTGGATTAGACAGAATCCTCTTTGAATTGGAAACCAACCCTTTTTACTATTTGAAGGCTTATATCTCTGTGGTGGTTGGATGGATTCATGGCAAATCTCAATCTAGGTTTTTTAAGATTTAGTTAAATTAAATTTAAGAGCATTTGCAAAAAGACGTGCATTGACTGGGAAATACAAAGAACTTCAGCCGTTGTAATTACAGTGAGTGCAGATGGAAATAAGACAGAGAGGGAAAAGGAGGTCTACAGCAACGTGCAATATTTCCTGGCAGGTTTGAAAGGCGAAATGTCAATTCTGCTTTGCAAATCATATGACCAATACTCTGTAAATGAGTTATAATGACATACACTACCTTTAAGGTCACTGGTGTGAGCTTTTCTTTATTCACGCCCTCGGGCAGGAAGTCTAGAAGAGAGTCCAGAACTATATCTTTCACTATCTGAAACTCCATCTCTCCTTTCAGCTCGGCGCAGAATATTAAGTCAAGATCTTTCCATCCCAGACCGCTGTCCTCGTGCAGGACGTAGCTGGCCGCGGAGCCGTTCAGGCGCACCTCCCGGACATGTATCCGCTTCTCCTCCATGCGGCTCCGGACCACCTTGACGATATCTCGTGGCTTCATCTCCAGAGTCGGGAAGCTCCATCGGCCGTGGATGGGGATGGAGCCGGTGAGGATAGTGTCAAGCCTCTGCACTTGCTCCCAGTTGAGCACGCTGAGATTGATGCTCTCCCCGTCCGAGCAGCTGTCGGCCGCAGCACACTCCACACTCTCGTCCATGATGATCAGAGGTAGTAAACGACAAAACTTTCCACTAACTCCTGTTGGAGCAGTGGCATCAGCTAGCTGCAACTTTTTGTAAAACTGCCCCTCTGGAACTAAACTCTATCATAACATCAAGATGCTGGACGACACGGCATCTCTACGCATGGCGGAAAGAACTAGTTGGGCGGTGAAGCCTAATTCTTGTCCTACTTCTTACATAAAGTCTGCGCTCCAGACAAATTCAATTCATGAGCTTTCCAGCCATAAGGCTTAGTCACTGTCCGGCATCTGCTGCCCTGCTGCGCGCTCCGCTCCGGCTCTGCCGCCAAACTCTAGGAAGAAGACACCAACTGTTGAAACGATTGTTCCTCACAGCGTCAGTTTTTCATTCCGTCCCAAAGGCTCACTGACGCATCCATCGCATCCGGGAAAACGTTTGATCCACCGCAGATTTTTTTTTTTTTTTTTTACTTCTGTCCTCTTTGGCTCACTTTACGCACAGATTGTAGCGCGTCCCTGCTGCGCAACAACAACTTTACGCGTCGTTTTAAGACTGTCGCACTTCTCAAATCCACACCTACTTTCAGAAAGTGGTGTATGGTTGCTTATCCTTTACATTTTGGCCGATTGTCGCTCGGTGATACTGCGTGATGCCACAGAGGTCCCACTCCACAGCTGCTGGAGAAGTTGTGAACAGTGTGCTTCCAGTCTGTCAAGCACTGGGGCGGGTCGGTTTGATTGACAACCCCCACTTACTAATAGCTGCCGCCACTTCCTACGCTTGAGCTACTTTGAGTGGCTGCAGTCCCGGAGACTGAGGCGGATCTGGAGAATGGGCGTTACACATGAAGAGAAAGAGTCCGGCTGGACGCTGACCCTCGACCAAAACCCTTTCTCGCTTAGGTTCGACTTCTTTTGCACTCCTTCTCCTGAAATGCACACTTCTGCCATCACTCGTATCACTCCAGAGAAGCAGCCACCCCCCATTCTTCCTGCATTGTCTTTTATCAATAGAAGTACCAAACAAGACCGATCCAGTATCAGTTGTGTTTGACCACTGCAGTGAGGATACACTCACTCAGAAAGGTGTGTAACTTATTTAACACTACAGAAGATGCCCCTTTATTTCCTAATATTTTGAAGTGGAGAAAAGGCTTTTATCTTATCTGACAATCACATGATTGCTACACAATGTCCTTGTTAAAGTCATGACTACTGAGCAGTAAATCTATTGCAGTTCACTTTGAGTAACAGCATCACAGACGTTACAAATGTAAATCATTTGAGTCTTAAACTAGAGTTTCTCAGAGGTCTCATCATTCACGGGTGAGACTGGGGAGTGCACACATTCTGAACGCCCTCTAGAGGTGGTTTCTCACCCATTCATCATTTGGCCCCCTCAGGTATTTGTTGTTTGCAGCAACTCTTCAATCTGGGTTACTTTGAAAAATTGCAGTAAATTTGTGCAAGTGCATAACCTGGATAGTATATCTCATCGTCTATTTAAAAGGATATCCTTCCTAATATGTAAGATGTTCAATAAGCTGTCAGTCTGTCAGTAAGTAGGGTAGAGGCCATAGAGCCTCGCAGGCTAGTTGTCATGGCGAATCTATAAGAACAGAGCTTGGCGCGTATATCTGCGTCACTGCAGACGAGCCCATAAACCAGCTTACCACAGATTACCCTGTATGTGCGGAGACACACACACACACACACACACACACACACACACACACACTCAGACGCACACAGGCATGTACGAAGAGAGTTGTGCATGTACACACACCTCTGTAGATAATGCACCCCTTCTGCAATTTTAAGGTATTAATGAGTGCTTAATGAGTACATTGAAAGCAGACAGTAAAATGTAATGTGTGTCACAAGCTACAGCAGGTTTTTAAGCAATGTAACACAAAACCAGAACTGCCAAACAAATGTGTTATAAACATTTGAGCAATCTGGTTGAATAACTGAGTTGCACAAAAACCAAACTGAAGGGCTATTTTTGAAAAGAAAAAAAAAACCTTCACACTTTCACATATCGTTTCAAGATATCTGGATATTTGTGTTCTGTATGTGAAAACACTTTATCCGTCAATCTTCTGAGCGACAAAGGCTCAGATATCACATGCATTCCTATAAATGAACTGCATCATTTCACAATATGGCACGAAGCATGCAGTTCATGTTTACTGTAACAAGTTTCAGTATAACAGGGATTCATTTGAAGTGTGTGGTAGCTGTTTTCACTTCTAGGTATTGCTTCTTATCCGTCTGCGTTTGGTTAAACAGTGGCCACTAAGTGTAACAATAAACAAACGTCAGATTATGGAAAATTTAAAATGACAATACACTTCAGAGCAATGCAGACTTGAAACGTTATTAGAGCTGAGTTACAGACAAAACTGTATCGACATTTCCAGATTGCAGACAGTGCAGCTCCGCAGGTTCACACAAAGACAGCAGGTCAGTCTCAATCGTCACTTTCCCCATTCACCAACTGGCTCAATGTCAGGCTTACAGCCGTGGATACTTACCATGAAGCAGCTACTTACCTGACCTCTGACTTGTCAAGTGGATGACACCGGATTGATTTCCAGTGTCTGACGACATCAGAGGATTGGCGAGGGGATTTCCGATAGACCCCTTTGCCAGGCTGTCAAACCAATTGCCACATATGGAAACAAATTTGTGTGTGCATACGTGCATCTCCCCATGCGTGTGTTATGTCTGTGAGGATTAATGTGTATACAGCTCACACTTAGGCGGTTATGTCCAGGAAAGAGTAACTGAAACCAAGAGCTTCATTCAAAAAGTCAGACATGGACACAGGGCAACATGGGCGTCCTGCTTGCTGATCACATCTAAAGTATCTCTTTCCCCACCTTCACTCTGCATCTTTCACTATTAATCCTTTATTCCCTCCCTCCATCCTATTCCGCTCTTCCCGTTTTTTTGCTCATCTTCTTTTCCATCCCCTTTTCCACCATTCCTACACGTAAAAGTTCATTAAGAGATTACAGTGAGCCCGTTAGCCGAACGTGCCTCCACGTTCTTCCTCCTTCCTTTTCCCACATCACTCCCTTAACACCCTCTACTATTTTTATTCTTTGGATTTTCATTAGTTTTCATTTGATACAATGTTGTCCCAACATGCACTCTTTACTTCACTTACCAAGTACTACTCCCTCATTTCTCTATTGTTGTGGACTGGAGAGTAAAAGAAGTCTTTCGTGACTGATAAAAGGGAATATAATCGGTGTTTGTTTGTGTTGGTGGAGGCTAATAGTTGACTAAAAGTTGACTTGTTTGGAAAAAACAACAAAACACATCTTTTCTATTATTATTTTCAAATTTTAAACCTCTATTGTCTTGGGGTTGGCGCACAAAGCTGCTGACAGCTGTTATGGTATGACTATTTTAATGGCCAGTTACCATAAACACACTGTGGCTATCTACTCTTAGCTAACCTTAGCTGACTTAAGCTAATGCTGTCTGATTTAGTAGTTATTTGGGGAGCTAATTTGGGGTTTTTTTCAGTCCACATGACAGCAGAGGGTGTAGTGAAGAAAATATGAGCTGGTTGGGGTCATACCCATTTTTCCAGGGAGTCTCCTGTATTTCAAGGAAATATCCCGGCACCCTCCCGTTTTATTTCTCTCGGGAACACACAATCCACACACATACACACAATTTCAACCCATCTGTTATCACAACCTGGCAAACCCACGACCCGGAAAAATCTCTTGTATTTTTAAACCTAAATGTTATAAGGTCAGTTGGTGTACAGGAAGTAAATTATTGCATTTCAGCATTTGGCGTTAATGTTGAGTTCAAATGCATGAACTGTCAAATTTTATTTTAAGAGAGGAGGATAGCCACTTTCTGGAAAAAAAAACATATCCTCACCATCTTCACAGGTTGCTATTGACTTGTAAAGAAAGTAGCCAGCTAGCACCATTAGCATCAACTGTTTGGTTAGCTTGGACCTCGTTCACTGTGTGTGGTTTGGTCTGGCGGTAGCATAGACAGTTTTAGCATTAGCACAACCGGATATCTGTATTTTCTAACTACAGCACCTTAAGAAAAGGCTGAAGGATGCTAATATTCACGGTATGACTGAGAACCAAGATACCTGCCCTCTTCCTGTCTTCCATCCTAAACTAAACACTATAACTAACACTATATTCCCAGGTCTGCTGCTCTTAATGAACAGCAACAGCAAGAAGTATTCAATTTGCCACTAAACTATCATTTTCTTTGCATGACTGTATCCTACAATATTCTTGTGTATTTTATTATCAGGAACCGTAAAACATGAACATGTTGTGTTTGTGTTTTAAGCTGGAAACCTACAATTCTCATCTATCTCGAGTAAGCCCGTTCCAGTATCAGAATCTGCAGAAGTAGTTCATCATGGTTGCAGAAGTAATTGTAATCATACTGGTTCATGCTGGCTGTCCCATAATAAGTGTTGAAATTGTGATGTTACACTTTAGCACAACTACTGAATCAGCTGCAAACAATTACCAACCTTCCTGTTCCTGCTAGTGTGCATGAAATTCACACTCCGGCCCACAGCCCTTTGACCCATATAGGCTATAGTACAATAGATGTACAGCACATGGTGGGTAATGTAGCTCCTGGCAGTGTATCCAGGCAAAGACTAACTTCAACAGTATTTCTGATCAGTTTTAACCCTGACCTCAGAAAGGGACCTTTGCTGACCCGAATCAACCTTGAAGAGTGCGCTCAGTAGTGTAAGCCCCCACTAAACTCTTCCACAGCCTCTAATGAGATTCGCTGACGTGCCCTGCACTGTAAGCCAAGCTGTAGCGCTCCTAGAAGGTGCTCCAAGTATGAGTATGTTATTGACCGATACTGTAAAAAGGAAAGGAGACAGAGCAGTGAAATTGAAATTATACAATGGTTTATTTTGCAACAGCCTTCCTCAGAACTTGAGGCAGAAGTTACAAGAAAATACACACTTGTTGCAGAAATCTTCTGAATTTAACTTGTGCAGGATGTTGCGTCTGAGTTTATGTCGAATGAACACACTTGATTGTCTTACTACTTGGCCATGCCAACAGGTTCACAGACATGTGCTGCTCAAACAAAAGCAAACACATGCACAGACACAGACACAGTCTTTTAATGCAGCCCCACGGATTCATTCAGTCTCCTGTTTTTTAAGTCAATATTTTCTCCATTTTTTAACAGACTTTGCTGACCTGTCATGACTGAAGACTGCAAACTGCTGTGACAAAACAAACAGGAAGTGAATTTCTCTATCTGTGACTCAGCTTCCTCTTTGATACTGTGGTCAGAGATGTCAAGACCACATTGATATTCTGTCATGATAATTGTCATGAAAAAAAGATAGAGGCAGATTCACACATGCACAAACATGCCTCCCTGCTGGTCCAGTAACTTAAAATGAAATTGAAATAGAGATTGTTAGTAGCTGCACTGAAAATTCATTCCTGACTCTCAAATCTGACTAAAAATTAGTTTTATAAGACAGGGTTTTGCAGCAAGATAAATCAGAATGGATCTGAGATTAACAGGAAATAAAACAGAATGAACAACATGTTTTTGCAACACAGAATTATGCAATTTTTTAATGTTTTTTCCCTTATGAATTACTTAACAATTCAAAAGCTATTCAAACTAACAAGGTGAAAAAAAAAATCCTTTTTCTA